GGCTCGCGTGCACCGTGCTCACGATCCTGACGATCTCGGCCCTATCCAGCGCCGTTGCTGTCTCCAACAGGAACTTCGCTTGTTGGTACTCGGGTGGGAGGGAACCAACGAAGTGGGCGAGAACGAAGGGTTGTTCAGCATTGAGCCCCTTTTCGCGCAGGCGGGCATACAGCAGCTCGAGAGAGTAGAGGTGCTCGATGGGGTTGCTGTTGCTGTGTGTGGGGATTGCAAAGTCGAACATCTTCCGCATCAAGGCCTGTTTTGACCCCTGTGACTCCGGATCGTAGACCTTTTCCAATTCCGCAAGGACCTCTTTCGCTGACGTACAGTTGCTGATAATTGCTTTGTCAGCTTCTTTTACCACAGCAGTAGTGATAAAGTGGAACGCCTGAAGCCCCCGTTGGACTTCTGCTCTCGTGTACCCCCTACGGAGCAGTTCGGAAGTCGGCAAGTTTGGGTCGCCCACGGGGATACTGCTCTCTGCATCTCCTATAAACAGCCCGTCCAAGTCGATGGTCTTCGCAGCTTGGATGAATGATTTTCGCCACGAGTCAAATCCGTGGCTACGGCTTTTTCCGTCTAGGAGCGGAGCATTGACCGTTACCCTCTTCATGTGGCTACTGCTGTAGCCGTCGAGGTATTCTCCATTTCCTCGAATCACGGGTATCTCACCTGGGGGGTTTAACCCCCTCGCTTCCCCGTAGTCCGGTCCTATGCCCGGGCCCACTCCGGCTGGTCCAACAGGGTTCGCTCCCGATCTGCTGGCCCAGCCGCCTTCCAGCAGCGGCCGTGGTCCTTGCCCACTATCTCTCGTTTGTTGCTGGAGAAATCCCCCGCCATCGCCGAGCGGCAGCGTGGGCTCTTCTCGTTGGCCTCTGGGGGCAGCAACCCAGCCACCCCTACTGGCTGCATCCGCCACGACGCTACCAGGCTCCTTCTTCTTCACCGACTCCTCCACCAGGGCCGCCAATTGCGAAATCTGCCGTTGCAAACTTGCAAGCTCCGCGTCGCGGCCCTCCTGCACCGGAGGGCGAATCTGTTCTCCGTTCGCAGCAGCGTGCTCTTCGTCTCCAGCAGACCTCATCCCGATGTGGCTTCCCTCGAGGGGCAAATCTCTAGAGTGTTTGCGGCCTATGCCACTTATTTATCGGGTGAGACTGTTTTGGTGATGTATTAACGAGAGGTCGACGACCGTCCTTCACATGGACGAAGGAGGGAGTGCTCAGAGAGCGGCTCTCACAGCACGGAGGGCCCCCGTGAATCACCGCGGTGCCCCCTACCAAAACGGTAATCTTACCAGTCTGCGTAATACAAAATCATCCAGCACATGTATCCAACAGCAATGTTCGCAGACTCACGAACACCCTCCCTGGTTCTTCACGCAAGTGACTAACCATCAATTGGGCAAGAACGCCCCAGGATACNACTACAGCGACTGGCCGTTGCAAGGACACTTCCAAGAGGTGTACAACGTCGCTAGTGAGATGGCTCTAACCAAGAATGATCCGCCATTGTTCACCCCCTTGGTCTCGGCTGAAGAACGCCGCAACGCCCTTCGACTGTACAAGGGTAAGTGCCTCAACTGCTTAGGAGAAGACCACTCCTTCAAATCCTGTAATCGTAGTTTCGTGAACGCCACCGGCTTGCTTTACAATGACATCAAGTTCTGTATGGAAAAAGATCCCACCCTTTGTGGTCGTTGGAAAAAGCGCATGACCTCGTATAGTCGCACTACAGGACGCAACCCACACCGAAATCATTCCTCAGGACGCGCCCACCGCTCATCTGACACATCGGACACGAAACAGTCCTCACACACAGAGCTCTCGTCGAGGCTTCCACTTCGACTAAAAGGGGCTGGAGGGGTAAGAAATGACAAGCCAATGGCGGAGTTCAGCCGGTACTTCCGTCAACAGCAACCACCGTGCACCCTTTTGGAGTCTCCCAAGATGTTCGTGTACAGCCTTCTTCTTTGGATACTCCCCACGCTCCTCAATCACANGGGGTAAGAAATGACAAGCCGATGGCGGAGTTCAGCCGGTACTACCGTCAACAGCAACCACCGTGCACCCTTTTGGAGTCTCCCAAGATGTTCGTGTACAGCCTTCTTCTTTGGATACTCCCCACGCTCCTCAATCACATCAAGTTTCTCGGCCCGCCTCCTCGTCGTCCGCCTCATCATCTGCTGGTAATGGACATCACAGACCCATTTCGGCAGTACCTTTGTGGTGTGGGCGACAGGGAGGTAAGACGTCGAGCGGGCCATCCCTGCTCACCTCGTCGTCTCGGGTTACAGAAGGAACAAGAACCTCGTGTTCTACTATTCATCAAGACTCTCCTGGTGTTGTCAGCCGGGCCTCTTCTCGGATCGCACACGAGCCTTCTTCTACACTCGTCGGGAACCCCGTCGATCCTCCTTCTCTTTCGCAGCTTTCGTTGTCTTCGACCGTCCGCTGCCCCCGTGTGACAGCACCTGATACGAATGCGTCTTCCTCTGCTGCCCACCACGTGCTGACTGCACCATTGCCATCGGGATCGGATGGAAGTGCCCACCATTCTGTGGAAGGTTCGGCTCCTTTGTCAAAGGGGAGTAGTCAAGAGCGCCCTGCGTCAATGAACAAATATCCGTCTGTTGCAGGAATGACTTCTCCTAACGAACGGGTCTCAAATAGCCGAATGGCCTCTGCCAACATTGACCCCGCCGGAGCCGCCGCCCTTAGGCCGCCCTCCGGATCACGGAGCGTTGCGACTTTGCCCCCTCCTGCCTCGCTTTCTGGGTCCTCCCCGTCGGAGAAGAGGACCCGTCCGCTTGGTCCGCCCCCGCTTGTGTCTGGTGCCCGCTCTTTGCCCTTTCGCCCTGCAACGGCTCCGCCGTTTGATGACAAGTGCGAGTACGCTTCGGATGACGTCCTTTTCTCGAAACCTCCGTCGGTGTTCTCGCAATGGACTCCTTCGGCTTTTGACGTACTGGGGGTACGTTATTCATGTGGTGCGCAATTGATGATGTCTGAAAAAGCGAAGTTGTTTGGAGACNTCGCTTTCTGGGTCCTCCCCGTCGGAGAAGAGGACCCGTCCGCTTGGTCCGCCCCCGCTTGTGTCTGGTGCCCGCTCTTTGCCCTTTCGCCCTGCAACGGCTCCGCCGTTTGATGACAAGTGCGAGTACGCTTCGGATGACGTCCTTTTCTCGAAACCTCCGTCGGTGTTCTCGCAATGGACTCCTTCGGCTTTTGACGTACTGGGGGTACGTTATTCATGTGGTGCGCAATTGATGATGTCTGAAAAAGCGAAGTTGTTTGGAGACATGACGTCGTATGGCAAAATTATGGCTGCAACAGATCCTAAGACACACAAGTTTTTGGGTGCGTCCTTTCGACTATGCTGAATGGAAGCGTCGTCGTGAAGAGATCGTACTTACGGGGTCGAATGCCAAATTTGCTCAAAACCATGACATGAAATATCATCTACTGGAGACGGGTACCCGCCACCTTGCAGGNGTGCGTCCTTTCGACTATGCTGAATGGAAGCGTCGTCGTGAAGAGATCGTACTTACGGGGTCGAATGCCAAATTTGCTCAAAACCATGACATGAAATATCATCTACTGGAGACGGGTACCCGCCACCTTGCAGGAGCCAGCCCCTTCGATCGTGTTTGGGGTATCGGCATGTCTGCATGCTTTCCAGAGGCTAGAGTTTCATCCAAGTGGGCGGCTAGCGGTAAAAACTTGTTGGGAAAAGCTCTGATGAAGTTCGACGCCTTTTGCGTGATCATCCCCTGTCTGGCGAAGATTTCCCCGCTTCCACTTCTCCCACGCCCCCCAATTCGCAGCCTGCTGTCCATGGACATCGACGCATCCATGAGGCTGCTACTGCTACAAGTTCTTCGCCACGGAAGGACCCGGGCGAAGACCCAGCTTGTCTCCGTTTGACCCCTCCGGGGGTGCTCCTGGCGTTCATCTGGTGGCATCGACCTCCGCTTGTGCAGACCAGCCTCCTCTTCTCGAACATGGGCCCGATCTGGTCGTCGGCACGCTCCTGTTGGGCTCGGATTCATACACTACCCGGGTCCTGGTGCATGGAGGACCTACAGCCACTTCTCAACTCGCGCGAGTGGCGCTTCTGGACTCTGGGTCTCCTGCATCCTTCGTGTCCGACCCCGTGGTCACCGCCATGATAGCTGCCGGAGCCTTGACAGCTGGCAGCGTTCGTGTTTCGCCCTCTCGTCGTTGGGGCGGGTTTGGTGATGGACCCGCCCTTGTGACCACCCGGTCAATTCGTCTCACCGTTGATTTTCTCCATGGAGATAGAGCTACCGCTTCCTTGGCGGTCTGGGCCTGTGTTGTTCCAGACACCGCCATGGGGCACGCCGTGCTTCTGGGTCGTGATAGCTGGATGCGCTTTAACTCTCGCGTGTTCACCACCCTCCCCCACCCTGGACCGGACGGCCGGGTTATGGGCGAGTTCACGCTCTCTCCGCGTTTTACAGCTGGCGCATACGTTTACGCTACACACGACGACGTTCCTGCCTCCTCCTTTCACCTTGCATATGCAGGGAGCTCGGTAATTTCCTTGGGGCTGGAGCCTGCACTCATTGAGGTGGACCTCGTTCGTTCTTCTGGCATGCCTATGTGGTATCGTTCAAGCCCGAAGTAGGTGCGCTTTCGTCCCCAGATGCGTTCGTTTCTAATGGTCTCCAGCGTATTCCCCTTGCAGGTTGTGCCGAGCTCGAGCCGGGAGACGTTATTGGAGTGTCTGCCGCGCCGCTATTACGAGTACCGGTGGAAACCCTGGAGGCGGCACCATCTTCGATTCCTACCGGCCCCACAACATCTACATCACCACCTCGGGTCAACGCCGTTGGCCCCAAGTCCGGGACTCACCGCTCTCCGGACCCAGCCTCCGCCCCGCCTCCTCCGAAGCCGCCTCCACAAGAACTACTCGACCGCTTCTCTGAGGCACAGCGCTCCAGCTTCATGCGCTTGTGGGCTAGGCTGCCCGCACATATGCACGACATCGCTTTCGATCTACACAATCCGGGATGGACACCGGAGGCTATTGATCGTTTGGCCGACGCCCTTGTGGAGTATTCTGACGTGTTCTCTACTTCGAAAACCGATTTTGGTTCCTGCAACATAATGCCGTTCACGCTTTCTGTCCCAGCAGGGACGAAGCCCGTTGCATCACGCCCGTATCGTATCAACCCGTTGATGCAAAAGAAAGTGGATGCAGTTTTGGACCAGTATTTGGCGGCAGGGGTCATTCAACATTCCACGTCTCCGTGGGCTTCTCCTTTAGTTGTCATCCTCAAGAAGGACGGATCTGTTCGCATCACCGTTAACTACAAACGTCTCAACGCTCTGGTGGATTTGGATGGACAACCTCTCCCTCGAGTGGACGGTATCTTGGATTCTCTGTACACCGGGAAAGTGTTCTCCATCTTCGACCTCAACTCGGCTTTCCACCAGATCGTTTGTGATGAAGACACTGTCCCGCTCACCGCCTTTTGCACTCCCACGCAGTTGTTCGAATGGCTTCGGATGCCGCAGGGCGCCAACGCAAGTCCGTCTTGGTTCGTCAAGGTCATCAACAGAGTGGTGCACGGTCTGGAGCGTGTGCTGGCTTATCTGGACGATGTCATCTGTTTCGATGAGGAACCTCTGGGACACGTGCTGAACTTGATCGAGTTCTTCAAACGACTGCGACAGTACAACCTCAAACTGTCTCCAGGGAAGGCTCGCGTCGGCGCCACGCACGCCAACTTTCTCGGTCACACCATCTCTCCGGCAGGTGTTAGCCCTGATGGCGTTAACGTTAGGGCGCTCACGCACATGCCGCCGCCGACGAGTGTTAAGCAGCTTCGGAGCCTTCTCGGTGGACTCAGTTACTAACGGAAATTCGTCAAAAATCTCGCCACCAAGGTGCGGCCTCTCAACTCTCTTCTCAAACAAGGCGTCCCCTTCAAGTACACCCCGGGCATGGTCAAGGTTGTCAAAACGTTGTTAAGCGAACTCGCTCGCCCCCCGAGTTTGGTCTTCCGGATTGGGCAGCAATCGAGGACAACAGCCTTCCTCATCGTTTGTGTTCCGACGCGTGAATCGACGGTTTTGGCGCCTCCTTGGAACAAGAACAGCTCGATGGCTCGGTGAGACCCATCGTGTACATCAGCCGCGCTACTCTTCCTGCGGAGCGTAACTGGACCGTTTTGGATCTGGAGGCTGGTGGCATTGTTTGGGCCATCAAACGCCTTCGCGGTTGTCTGTGGTCGACCAAGTTCGCCATCCATTCTGACCACAAAGCCTTGGAGAGCATTGGCAAGGTTGCGGAACACAACGCTAGGGTGCAACGATGGCTCGAATTCCTGTCCAACTTCACCTACACCCTGAAATATCAGAAAGGTTCGGCAAACGGCAACGCGGATTTTCTTTCGCGGTTGCCTTTACCAGCACAAGACACTGGCAAAACCGGCCCCGACTGCATCGATGGTGTCGATCAAGCGGGTGTTTTACTCATTCGGGCTTGCGGGCGCAACTTTCACTCGTCCTCTATGCCAGAGGTCGATTTGGGTGGGCTCCGCCCTCCCTGCACGGCGGGAGTCTTTTCGCCCCCAGCGTTGCAGCCCTCCGATTTTGGGGATTTTCGCCGACATCAACCGCGTCGGTTGGATGCTCTGACGGACTCAACGATTGCCTGCGAAGATTCTCGGCGGTCCCCGGGGGTCTTAATCGTCTCGCTTGTTCCCCCATCTTCAGGGCCTGCTTCTTCATTGACTTCTGATGCGTTTCGCGTGATGTCTCTTGCCGGGTCTTTGGCGACTAGATATGTGCACGTTTTGTCTTCGCTTCCGGAGCGGGGACTGCTCATTTTTTCACGGACTCGGGCCAAAACTACCGCAGTTTCCGGAGGCACCGTCACCGGTCCCGCTTATTTCGGACGCCAGCCGCGGGCTACCATCGTCCCTCGGACAACGTCGCCTGCCCGTCGCTCTAGCAGGTCCCGCTCGGCAAACAAGACCACCCGGACCGCCGCGCGTCTGCTGCAGCCATCCGCAACGCCGGCGTCGGCGTTTTCGTCGACTGCTCTTGCGCCACCGGTGTCTTCGCCGTCAGCGGCGCGCCCTGCATCCCCGACTTCGCCTTCTCTACAGGTTTCGCCCGGGACTTCGCCACTCACGATGTCCCCTTCGCGGACATCACCACGGACTGCGGCTGCCCCAGTTGCTGAGGCTTCGCCTTGTTCAGCCTCTCCCGTTGGATCGCCTGATTTTTTTTCGGAATCTTCTGATTTGGACACCTCCCACTTGCGGGCTTGTGTTCAGAGTTTCAGCACTGTAGACTGGGCTAGGGAACAACAGCGGGAGAGCGAGTGTGTGGTGACAATGCGTGTTTTGTCTTGCGGTTCTCCCTCCCCAACCCCTCCGGACTTGCTCACTGTCCGTGCTCCTCTTCGCGCCCCTCGGTTAGATGATGTGCTTGTGTTGGCGGCGAAAACCAGACTGCACACGACCGATGACAACATCACCCTCCTCGTACATAAATCGGCGACCTCGCCGGTTGGGCGCTCTGGCGGCAGGACCACTCGTCTGCCGGATACTGGCGTGCCCCGTGTCTACGTGCCAATGCTGATGCGTCCGTGGGTCCTTCATGCATGCCATACCGCCGCGTCATTCCATCTCGGCGTCCATCGTACACAGCGTCTGCTCGAGCGCTTCTACTGGTGGATTGGTTTGGATCGTTCCGTGCGCTGGTGGCTTCGGGCGTGTTTGGTGTGTCAAGCTCGCAAGACTTCACGTCAGACTGCTCGGTGGCCCGTCATCGCTATGCCATTGCCGCAGGGGCCTGGTACGGTCGTCGGCGTCGACTTCTTCGGACCTCTGCCAGTGATTGCCAAGGGCAACTCCTACGTTTTGTTGTTCACAGACCGTTTCAGTCGGAGAGCCGACATGTTCGCAGTTTCAGCGGGGGAATTTACGGCGAAAGGGACGCCTCACAGCTTTGTCAACCAATACATGACCAAGTGGGGATGTCCGACTACGTTATTGTCGGACAAGGGACTGCATTATCTGCTCGAAGCTCTCCATGGCGATCTACGAGGTGATGACGATCAAGAAGGTCACCACCAGCTCCTACCACCCACAGACCAACGGCGGCACGGAACGCGTCAACCACACGATGGCCCAGATGCTTGCGGTGGTCGTCAACGAACAGCAAAACGATTGGGACGTACATCTCCCGCACGTTGAGTTTGCCTACAAAAATTCCGTGAACCAGTCTGCTGGATTAGCGCCAAACGAGATCCACATCGGACGCATCCCGCGACTCCCGCTGTTGGTCTTCGATCATCCCACGGTAGGTGGTCATCAAAGCTTGGCCCGCGATCAACTCGAGCATTGCAACCTGGCTGTCGATCGCCAGCGCCGGGCCTACAAACTTGACCGTGAGTACAACGCCCTGAAGATTTCGCGCGTCGAACGCCGCAATTCATCCCTGCTGGACGCCATTCACAAGCTCCCTCAGTTGACCGTTGGCGGGTGGGCTTGGGTGTACAACACGGCTGCTACGATTCGACAGGGTGTGCAGAAGAACACGGACCAACGGGTGCTCAAGGCCAAATTCGCACTTTCCTGGACGGGGCCCTACCAAGTTCTTGCGGTGCGTCCCGCTTCTGCCGACGCCACTCCGGACGGCAGCCCGTTGGCGCGTAAACTCCTCTACCTGGACCTGCCTTCCGATATTTGCGGCCCAGCAGGTCGATGTTGCGTGTCTGTCCTTCGTTGCAAGCCCTGTCGCAATCCGCACGAGACGGACGACATGCCGCAATCTCTACCCGCAGAGCTTTCGCGTTATGTTCTGCACCCTTTGGAAGATAAATGCNCCGGACGGCAGCCCGTTGGCGCGTAAACTCCTCTACCTGGACCTGCCTTCCGATATTTGCGGCCCAGCAGGTCGATGTTGCGTGTCTGTCCTTCGTTGCAAGCCCTGTCGCAATCCGCACGAGACGGACGACATGCCGCAATCTCTACCCGCAGAGCTTTCGCGTTATGTTCTGCACCCTTTGGAAGATAAATGCCCACCTTTCCACGTCACCGCGAATGATGTGTCGGTGCCTGTCGGGCGCCTCGAGGTCGACTACATCTCGGGACATCAACTGGTGCGGGGCCGTATCTCGCTGTCCTGTACCAGACGCATTGGTTAGGCCTGACTACTCCTTCATGGGAACGGGAATCCGACCTTGATCAATTCCGTCGACACATCCTCTAGTACTGGTCCCGGGAGGTCTGCCAAAGCAAGCAGGGTAACCGTACATATCGAGTGGCTCGGACTCGCGCGGCACAGCGGGAGCTAGCCCGGAATTGTGGAGAACGCTATTTGCCTCCTGGGGCTGATCTTGTGCTTCACGCGACTTGGCTTCTTCGTTTCAGCACTTCGCCCCTCCCTGTTGGCGCGCGGCTGTGGTACAAGGCCCTTGATGGATTGTGGTGGACCGGACGTATTGGTGCTCATCAGGGCGGCTCGTACATTGTCCGATTTTTGGATGACCCGGGCCCAAGCGTTCTCCCTCTGCCTGCGCACCGCTACTCCACCGCCTTGGACGCCGTCTGTGGATCATGGTGTTTAGAGAAACATCGTTCGCGCCCTCTGGGCGACAACCGTGGTCGCACTCCGCTCCTTGCTGATTCCTTGCCGTCGGCTGTTCCCATCATTTCTTCTTAGCGTCGTCGTTTTCATATACCAGTCGGCCTATTTTGGTCTTTTGTGCCATTCCTCTCGCCGACGTTTTTTTTTTTTTTTTCTGTCACCTTCTGTGTGTGTGTTTTTTTTTTTTTTCTGTCCTGTCTCTTTTCTTTTGTTGGCATTTTTTTTGTTTTTGGACGCTGGGGCAACGCCGCCTCAAGACACGCAGTGTCGAGTGATCCTTCTTACTTGTTGCCTGCATTCGTCTGAATCAGTGTCCTGCCGCGACCTGGATGTCTGTTCTCTCTCGCCTTTGCTTATTTTTTGTTGTTGTTGGTCTTTGGTTCTCTCGATAGGCTCCCCCCGAAGTTTCGTCGGTGTTTTCCTCTGAACACTTGGAAAAAGAGGTCCCGAAGTTCGTCGGTGTTGCCTCGGGACACTTGGACACCGAGTTCCCCGCGTTTTCCTGGTTCGCCTGTTTGCCAACTAATGTTTATCAATTTTTTTATTTTAGCTCTATCGTGCCGCAGAAGTGTCGTATACGCTTTGTGCTTCGGGATTCCATCCCGTGGCGTCGCCTTCTCTTTTCGTCGTCACCCACACTTCGTTCTGCTTCGTCTCCATCATTGCCGTCTTCGGGCGACGTCTTCATCACAGTCGCGCCCCTGAGTCGTCGTCTTGTTATGTGAATCCTACGACTTTTCTGTGTTTTACGTGTTTGTATGATGCGTATCGCCAGCGAGCCATGTCGCAGTTCGTCGGATGCCTCTCTTGCATTGATCCTTTGTGCTTTTCATCCTTGGTCCTCAGTAGGTCTTGCCCTTGCCGTCTCCTTATACGAGCTGGGTACCCTGGCACGCTGGCAATCGTTCTCCGTGCCTTTGCCTGTCGTTCTTTTCTCCTGCCCTTCGTTGACGTTGACCTAGATTGCATTGAGTTTTCCCGTTGCGTCGCGTCCAGTATCAAAGGCCGTATGCGTTCGGAAATTTGTTTGGGTTTTGAGTTTCGTCACCGTATTTTGGACTCTCTCGGGTAGTCACCCTCATTCCCCCAGTGGTGATACGCGCGGGTGCGCGTGAAAGAGTGGTGTGCGGCGTTTGGACATTGATTTGGTTTCCCTGTCTTCGTCTGTGCAGAATGATAGCGTGCTCTGGAGCAATAGTCTTTATAATCTTCGTAGCTTAATCCCTTCAAGCGTTGTCATTGAGATTTCGATGTTCCGTCTCGTGACCGTTCGCATTCTTCATCTCCATGATGGTGTGAGGGATTGATTCGGGATATTTCTACAACTCCCCCTCCTTTTGGATATTTTGTGAAGAGTCATATCTTCGATTCATGATCATAAATCATTAGCTAAAACCTTAATTATGCTTTTGACTAGGATTTGAGCATTGATTTGAGTATAGAATCAACCCGCTATGGATTACGGTGCTTGAAAGTAGGGCATACTCGGGGAGGGAGAAAAAGGGTCGAGGAACACATGAAGGTTTGGCGGGTGGCCAGATAGGGCTGGGGTGAGGTGGTAGGGTACTCGGGATTCGTTGTGGAGACGCGGGGGGTACCGTGATATATGGCCTGCCCTTGACAGGAAGGAGCTTAGGGGCGTACGTGTCTTGTCGTGTGTGCATGTGCGTATTTGTGTGCCCCTTACTCTTTTGGTTTCCCATTTATTTTTGCGACAAAAGTCCCTCCGATGAATGCGAGACGTGTGCTACAATTCGCAGTAGTGTTTGGAGAATGAGCGGTCCCTTTCTCTCGGTGACAATTTTTTCGTTCGTTGCTGCGCGCGGGATCTCCTGTTGTCGGTAAAAAGTGTCACCCCCAACCAATGAAGGGGCTGATTTGTCGCCCGTTAGCGATCCGGGGCCAAAGCACCCTTAGAATACTCTTCGGTCTTTGAGCGCGTAGCGGCCAGCGTGGTTATCAGACATGTGCAATTACCGACCGCGCAGGGAGAAATACTATGCCGTTGGTTTGAGATCTTTTTTGCGGTGCTCTTCAGTTTCGTGTGGACCGCATTGACAGTTTGATTGTATCCCCACGTCGGATCAACCATGCAGACGATGGATATGGACGGTGAAAGCAGAAAAAAACACCGAGCCAAGACAGTGAAAGAAAAAAAAAAAGCGGGATTCATTCGCCCCGCCCGACGAGACGTATAAATGGTCACATCTCCCTGCCTTGTTCTGAGTGCTGCCAAGAACAAAAACGCAACCACACTACAAGACGTACAGCCCCACAACGGCGCTACAAACAACAAGACTAACGCGGCGACACTCCACCTCCGCGGTGATGCAACGCACAAAATAGCCTGCATCCCCACATTGGTAGGCATAGGGCATGGCAGGAAGCCGCCGCCGAAAAATCGCCGGACCAACCATGCACGACGGAAAACAAACAACGTGCCTTGTCGCAACACAACATTAAGTCTCCTTGCCGTGCCTTGTGGGCGCTGCCGAAGAGTGCAACGAAGGCACACCAACACAAGGAACGATGCAGCCACACGACGACATTACCAAACAATACTCTCTCGCTTATGCCAGAATGGCGTAAAGGGTGAGGTGGTGAAGTGCCGCGCGGGAAACAAACGGCATACACATAGTTGTGCTGCCGGGAAACTACTCTTACGGAAAATAAGGGTCTGCAACGGACGGACCAGTTGCATCTCTTTAACCTTGTATGCCACCACCACAAAAAACCACCACTTCGATTCGCATCTACCCTGCCCTGCCGCCAAACATCTCCATCCCTAACTTACGTGTTGTTGTGGCCCATCCGAGTGAATATTACGTGTCAACTAGAAAAAAAGAAAAGGCTACGCCAACATGCATCTCTAAGTCAAGATGCAGCCAAAGACCCCACCAAACATGGTATTCGTCACACGTGATATAGGAGGGGGTTAAAAAGTATTGAGAAGACACCAGCACAGCCGGCGGCGTCCACAACAGATAAGTGCTAACCGCCCGCGCCCCACGCACCCATGTGCCGGCTACCTAGCCATCCTCACTCGCTGCCGCCGTTTCTTTTCTGATTTAGGCCCTCACGGTCGTCGCCCGGTCCCGCAAGAGCTGTAGGTCTTCTTTGTCAGCATCCGAACCCAGCNGCAAGAGCTGTAGGTCTTCTTCGTCAGCGTCCGAACCCAGCTCCTTCTCCTTCCTGATGTCCTCCTTGATTTCCTGGAGTTCTTTGCGGAGCTTGGCGATATATTCGAGTTTGGCCGCCTTGTTCTCTAACCCCTCCTTCGTGTCGTAGAAGGATGTCGGGGCGTCGGCGTACGTGGGTGCGGACGACGTTCCGACCAGGGCGTCAAGGCCCAGCTCCCCCTTCACTGCGGACATAGCGACCTTCGCCGTGTTCTCGATCTGCGTGTCCTGCTTCTTCTTTTTCTTCTGGCCATTGACGCCCACGTTCCTCTCCCTGGATTCCACTTTCGCGACCTTCCGCTTACTAGCATCCGCCGACGTGCCCTGGGCACCACTGTGTCCGTCTCCCGCGGTCTCCACCCCCGTACTCTCCCTCGCGGTGCCGTCGGGGAGCATCTGGTCGCACACGGCCAGGATGTCAGGGCACTTCTCGGCCGTCAGCCCGAAGTAGTATGTGTCTAAGCTTTCTGCTTTTTCGGGGAGGGGTCGGGATTGGATGTGAGGGGGGAGGACGGGGGGGCGAAGTAGATGATCAAGCGCAAGCCGAGATTGGTCATCATTCAATCACAAACGTCAAGAGGAACTTTGCGTTGTTTGGCGTTGACTACCGTCTAAGCTTAGTTCTAGGCCCATGGATGCACAAACCTACATGCTTTTCGACGCAACACGATGGGGAGCACGCGCCAGGATGGAGAGGCCAAACACAAGCACCACACACGCACGCGCTCGCGAGCATTCAAACACTAAATACCCCGTGCACCTCGTCTACCCTCAAACATACACAAGGCTCGTTTTGTCACTGCACAACAGAAACAACATGGTCAGGCCGGAGTATTAAACTCACCCTTGCAGAAGGAAAACATCTCTCCGTTGCTGCCAGATTTCTTGGAGTTCGAGTACATTTCGCCGTGGTCCTTGAAGAGGTCGGTCCTCATGGTCGCCAACTTCTGGAAGCTGATGTCCGGCTGGCGTACGACGTTGGGGTTGATGCCGGCGCCAAAGATGTTGCTGTCGTCCGCCAAGGAACTGGGCACCTGCAATGTTACGTTGTTGGCACAAATACAGGCAAAGGGGGGGGCGCTTGCGTTTTGATCCTCTATCTTTGCCTTGGTTGGCCAAAATGTGCACAGCAAAGAAACACCGAAGGTTTGCCCTCGGGACCGCAAGTGGTATGCGGCGTGCATGCAGGTGCCAATCACAAAACAGTACCGCCTCGTGCAGGCCACAACGGAGGATACCACCGCCACCACGCCTAGATCAAACTGGAACATGCAAAAAAAATTGAGAAAGCACCTCACCTTGAACTTTTCGTCCTTGAACGCCTCCCAAATCTCGAGATGGATGTCCCGGGTCGTCCCCTTCTGCTTGGCGTCCAGCTCCTTCTTGCTCAGCTGCAACCTACTGACGCCAAACCTCTCCCTGAATTGCGGATGCATCAGAAGGTCACAAAAGCGAGGCACGCAGTGCTTGCTCTTCCTCCGCTGTCCGATGCCCTCGCCCCGCCCATCGGCGCGATCTTACTCCTTGATCGCCGCCATAATGGCAGCGACCGTGTACCACTTGCCATCACAGTCATACATCTTGTTCGGCTCGGGGCTGAGCCCACTCCGGATTGCAGCGCGTACCGCTGTGATGAGGTTTTGAGGAACTCGTTGCGCCTCCGCTCTAGATGCTGGCGGCTTCGATGGTGACGCTCCACCTGACAATACCATCAGCACCAACGAGCGGAGGATGGGAAGGGCCGTGTCGGAGGTTCTTCATACATTACACACCCCTATGCATTCCTCGGCCAAGCTCGCCGAAAACCTGGCTGGCGAGGGCTTCCTTGCTTTTGCAGCATTTGACACTTAGGCCCGTTTTATACATGAAAAAAAATTGCACAAATTTTGTACAAAATTTGGGTCCAAATATTTGGAACCAACATTTTCATTTTATACGTGCTGCAGCTGGTCTTCCAAATTTTCAATATTATCTCGCCGCTTGCCTGGTGCCAACGAGCACAACACACACACATACTCAACACCTTCGCCGTCAACACCTCCACAACCAAGACACCATGGCAGACAGCACAAAGGGACGGGCTACTGGTCGCCGGATGGCTGCTACCCCAGCCAGATACAGAAAGGAGGGCCATCTTGGCGCCGCTGCCGGCGAGGGTTCGAGCGCGCGCGGAATGCTCCCAGGCATCTCTGGCATTCCGTCGGCGCTACACACCCCTGATCCATCTCCCCCTCCGGCGAGGGCCGCCACAGGGGCTGGGTCATCAGGTCCTCCGAAGATGGCGGAAACCCTGCTTGATATCATGAGGGACGAGGAGGTCGGCGGCATTGGTGCCGGCGGCGATGATGTCGGCGGCGATGATGGTACCGGTGGCGACAGCAGTAGTGACCACTCCTTCGACACACAACACCCTTCCAGCAACAACGGCGCGGCAACCGGAAGCTCAGCGCGCATGGCGCTTGATGCACCGGTACTCACTGTTGTGATGGAGAACGGTAAAACACCGTCGAGGGCGAAATCTCCATCCCCAACGCCGCAGCAGTCGGTGGCGTCCGCCATGACCCAGAGGTCCCTCAAACGCAACCAGAACAAGCCGTACTCAGCGTGGCCTGTCAGCCTCCTACAGATCGCTATCCAGGCGCGAGGTATCTCCGGCCTTTCGAGGGAGAGGAGCAGCTTAGTGTTGGAGAAGGCCCTAGCCGATGTCGACAAGGTGTGTGGGCGCCCAAGCCCCTACTACGCGGATCTCGAGGATAAAGCAACAGGTGGGAACCCTTCTGTGCGTTAGACTCTTCCCCTCTCTCATCCCACTGTTCATCTACCTCTCTCTGTACAATTTCTCTCTCGCTTCCGTCTCTCTCACACACACACGACGAAAGAGCATATGTAGGTGGTAGACTTCGCGCTATTTTGGTGCATGTCCCTACGGCTGCATCGGCACCAATGCCATGTGCATGAAAGCTCCAACCCTAACCACTTTTCTTCATGACACCTCTCGGTTCCACCCATGGTTGTCAACCTGCGTGCTTCCAGGTGAGACCCCGGCCTCCAAGCCCCTAACGGCGTCACCAGAGACCGTCGAGGTTCCGGAGGCCTTGGTTATGGCTGTGTGTAGCGCCATTCGCAGTGGGGCGAGCATTAACCCGAAAATAAAGATGGACTGGGAAGAGAATGCCTACCTCGCCAGTCGCGTTTTGGAGGTGATAGCGGATGAAGACCGCGCGTCAGGGGCCGGCGTCACCACAGCCGACCGAAGGAAGAGCAAGCATTGCGTCCCCCAAGCGGTGGAGCTGATGGTCGCCGAGCGCTTCAGGGAGCGCCTTGCCGCGAGCAGGACGTAGTTGTTTAGGACGGAGCTCGACAATAAGGAGACGGGCAAAAAGCGGTCGGTATACTTTGAGCTATGGAAGGACTTCAAGGACACGGACGTGGAGATGAGGTCTGAATGTATACCGTTTCCGTTAGCCCGCAGGAACGTATTTTGTTGAGGTTACGTTCACGTCTAGTTCGTATGCTCACAGCAATCTAGCACCCAGGGTGAGGGCGTTTGAATCCCGTCGAGAGGGAGATTTTATTGCGAAGTGAGTTTTTATTTCGCGCCCGTCCTGGCGCTAGTTATTTTTTAGTGTGAACTCTTCTCGCGTTTTTGTCGAAGGCGAGGACCGCAAGAGGGTGGGTAGGAGCTTTAGGGGAAGGAACCCTTTTGTGTGACAACGGGTTATTGACGTCCTACCCAGCAGCAAGAACGTGTGCCAGCGCTCATTTCAAGGTATTGAAAAAAGAAGCGATGTGCTTCGTCAAATTCTATCGGCCTGTTGTCCCCCCCCCAAAATATATACAAATCAACAACGCCCTTTTGCCTTGTTGCAGGTGGTCACACACCTCAACGACGACGAGCACATCACCGCGGCACAGATCGACCCGAACATAGTCCATCAGCCCGACATTTCGTACGACAAGTTCATGAACATGGTGAAAGAGGTGAACAAGGACTATGGCGACTGCCACCACAACATGAAGAAGTCTGGGAGTCACGACGAATGGTACTCCTTCTGCCGTGGTAAGGTCTGCTTCTTTTTTTTGTAGTGGCCCTTGTGCAATAGGTGGTACAGATAATGGCACGTGTCGAGGGGGTACTCCTAGAGAATAGACAGTGGTCGGTCCAGCCGTCGTGTTGAGATGTAGTTGAATGATATTTATGTAGCGTGCACCGTACTATGCTTGGGACGATGCTGGAACAACAGGCCGGATAATACAACTAACGTCGATCAAATATTCCTCAACCACGGCACACTTCAATCCATCACAAGCAGGGGACTTGCCTTGTACCAACAGGTGTTGTGTTGCAGCGATAAAAGGTACCGGTCGTGGTCATTCGAAACGTGGTTCCTCGAGAAATGAGTACTGTTCGGGCTCTTCGCCCTTGTTAGTTTTGGGTCATGTAATGTGCAAGTGTTCCTCTGTTGGTCGTGAACGCCCGAAAAAGTACAGCCCCCACCCGCCCCCCGCCCCGACCTACTGTGGTTCCCCTCATCACAAAGGGGTTCAATAATATGCCTTTGAAAAACCCGATTTTTCTTCATGTTGGCGATGCATCGATAACACACGTACGTTCCTCCCACAAATACGTGTGCGCTCTAAATGACATCAGCGGGTAGTACGTTTCCGCTTGCAAGTTCCAGCACGACGATATACTTTCGTGGTGACGTCCACTTCCGCTCAATGTCACATTATTGCCGTCTAACGATCGCCCCTCCCACCCCCCCCTCGACTCGCCCTGTTCGAAACACCCTGAACGTCAAAATATCAGAAAACCTTGACACCTACTACTTTGGACAGCTCATGGCCGAGTACCCGCAGATCCTCGCCGTGTGTGACCGGCTCCTGCCCGAAGACGTGCAACGGGAGAGCAGCGGCGTGGGGGGGGCGGCCGCCGGCCCTACAGGCGCCAAGGGAGCCGCTGCTGACGCGAAGAGGAGAGAGGAATCCAAACGCAGAGCGAGGGAGGACAACGCCCACCTCAAGGCCAAGAAAAAGCAGGCTAAGAACGCCGTCAGCGTGCAAGAGACGGCCGCGGTTGCCATGCACTCAGTGGCGTCTGGACTTGGACTGCCCCCCGGCGGATTAAGCGAGCTATTTCGGCCAGCGTCCGAACCCGCCCCCGCCGCAGCACCTTCCCCGCAGAACATCGTAGATGAAAAGACCGCAAAATTGAGGTTTTTCGACACATTGTTCGAATCTTTCCAAGCCGCCACGAAAAATCTCAAACAAGCCAAAGCAGAGGCGGCAGGCGGCGACAGCGCGGCGCTAGAAATGGTCGGTTTTCTGGAAAAAAATATTGCGAAGATTAGAACCGAGATGGCTGAATGGGACAAGAGTCCCCTTTGAGGGACAGCCCGCGGTCCCTCCCCGATTCCACATGTGCAAGAGCGATCGATTGTATTTTAGTGGCGGTTGGTGTAAGATCGTTCGTGTGTGGGCGGGGGAGGGAGAGGGCAGATCGCTTTCACTTGCCGTATCGTTTGTCTTTTGTCGGGTGGGTGTTTGACGAGTGCACCACATGTAGCACACGCATGGAGAACGCGTAGAGCACGCTCGAAGTTCGACGTTTTTTTTAGCCACGTACAGCAGTACCACTTGTTTATTTTTTTGAGTTTTTTACAAACCACCGCGTGCATTCGTAGATGACTAGGGGGGGGGGGCATGCAGAGCGAACGTGTGGCGCACGACCAAAACTCGTTGTTTTTTAGACACGTACAGCAGTACCGCTTGTCTTTTTTTTTGGTGGTGTTTTTTTACAGATGACCAGGGAGGGGGGGCACGCAGAGCGAACGTGTGGCGCACGACCAAAGTTCGTTTTTTTTGAGACACGTACAGCAGTACCGCTTGTCTTTTTTTTTGTTGGTGTTTTTTACAGATGACCAGGGGGGGGGACACGCAGAGCGAGCGTGTGACGCACGACCAAAGTTCGTTTTTTTTTAGATACGTAAAGCAGTACCGCTTGTCTTTTTTTTTTGTGGTGTTTTTTTACAGATGACCAGGGGGGGGGGACACGCAGAGCGAACGTGTGGCGCACGACCAAAGTTCGTTTTTTTTTAGACACGTACACCAGTACCACTTGTCTCTTTTTTTGTGGTGTTTTTTTACAGATGACCAGGGGGGGGGGACACGCAGAGCGAACGTGTGGCGCACGACCAAAGTTCGTTTTTTTTTAGACACGTACACCAGTACCACTTGTCTCTTTTTTTGTGGTGTTTTTTTACAGATGACCAGGGGGGGGGGACACGCAGAGCGAACGTGTGGCGCCCGACCAAAGTTCGTTTTTTTTTAGACACGTACACCAGTACCACTAGTCTCTTTTTTTGTGGTGTTTTTTACAGATGACCAGGGGGGGGGGACACGCAGAGCGAACGTGTGGCGCCCGACCAAAGTTCGTTTTTTTTTAGACACGTACACCAGTACCACTAGTCTCTTTTTTTGTGGTGTTTTTTACAGATGACCAGGGGGGGGGGACACGCAGAGCGAACGTGTGGCGCACGACCAAAGTTCGTTTTTTTTTTAGACACGTACAGCAGTACCGCTTGTCTCTTTTTTTTGTGGTGTTTTTT